AACTGATTGTTTTGAAAATATACAATAGAAAAAGAGATCGATAATTAACAATATCAATTTCCAATTGATATCTTTCAAATAGACTTAAACTATATCTACTAGTAATAATTATTGTGCCCAACACATGCTGTGTGTCCAAGCGTGTCCCATTATTCCAAACTGCAATGAATTTTTATAATTTAACTACTTGTCATAGGACTATAATATTTTAGGATATTTGTTTAGACTATGAGTTTTATCGACTTGTTGAACGGCAAAAACGCAAAAAAATTAACATCTAATTACATAGAATTGATCCGGCCGACCTTTGTCAAAAATTAATCAGCACGCTTACCTTCTAATATCTTTCGAATGATTTTAAAATTTACAAAACTTGTTCAGGAAAACGTAGATTAAAAATTTTGCACTTTTCTGCTAATTCTAAAGAAGTATCTTGGCCAATTGTCCCGCAAATCTAATGAACGCGAGTCCTTATCGAGTTTCATCGAATGGATTTTAAGATTTTGAAATCAGTTCGGCTGTTTGTAAACAAAAAAACGAAAGTTTAAATTTTGGCTCACATACACATATATACTTTCTCCACTTTTGGAGTTGTATGATTCAAAATGGATTGAAACGTCAAGAAAACATAAATCTAGCAAGTCCAATTATCTGGTGACAACCTAATCATCTTGATTGAGCTCATAAATTAATTTATAAAATGTACATTAGAGTGGTCCTTAATATGGTCATTTTTGAATTTCCTTGCTCTCAGGGGCTCAAATGCCTCCAAATTGATAAAAAGAAAAATCCTCTATAAGTTTTAGCTCTTAATATTGTCTTTTAGATAGTGCGCAGTTAATCAAAGTATTGTATTGAAATAGCATGGAAAAATTTTCAATGGTACAAATGAATGAGTTTTATTCAAAATTCGACGCTCTACAAAACAAATGATAAAAAACCTGTTTTGTAGAGCGTCGAATTTTCAATAAAAGATGACACAAATTGTCATTTGTAATTTATTTGTCGCTAAGTTATACCTAAAAAACGTTTGTCAAATTTTCGAATTTTTTTCCATGCTATTTCCATACGAAGATATGATTGAATTGCGCATTATCTAAAAGTTAATATTAAGAACTAAAACTTTTACAGCTTTTTTTTTATCAATTTGGAATCATTTAAGCCCCTGGGAGCAATAAAATTCGAAAATGTCTATATTAAGGACCACACTAATGTACATAATTTGTGTTCAAAAGATTTTAACCATTATTTTGCAATATTTAGCATTTAAGTACGATTATTACTTAAATTAATTAAGTAATTAATTAATTATTAATTACTTAATTAATTTATTTATTACTTAATTTATTAATTAATTAATTAAATTATTAGTATTTAAAATACAAAAGTAAATAAAACCTGATTTGTACATATAAAAGGTTTGGTTCGTGAACTACATATGGCATTGAAATTTTATTTAAATTGAATTGAAAATATCTCATAAAAGGAAATAATCTTACCGGTTTCTCGCCAATAATGTTTTGGAGCTGTATCTTGCCTTAAATTTATATCTGTGATGTGGTATTGATTTATAGTATTTTCATAATATATACAGTTCAGTATACTGAAATTTTTATTAAAATATTTCACCTGTGTTACCATAAGCCACGACATTCTTGATACCTGTGCAGTAATAGTAAAGTGTGTAGATTTTATCTAATATCCTTTGTGAAGCTAATAATGTTATTCATTGGTCATTTACAGGTGAGTTATCCTGTCCCGCAAGGTCCGCCACCGCCGCCACCTCCAAGCAGGACAGATGCTTACGAAGTGCCAATCGATTCTCCGCCATCTCGAAGTCCTCCTCAAAGCGCTCCGCCCCCTTTGCCTCAAAGGCATGCTCCGCCAATTCCGCAAGGCAGTCCAGCTCATCGACAAGTTTCGGCCGGGGTTCCGCCACCAGTTCCTGCTCGGTCCGCCGGGCCACCACCGCTACCCGCCAGACCGGTAAATCAATAAATTATTATTATATTTTGAGTGCATTGAAGGTGTGGTGGATATCCAATTCTTCTGTGTCTAGCTAAAAAAAGTATTTGTAAAAATAAATTTGTCGGGCCACATATGTAATAAGTAGACGAATGATATTTATGGTTATTATTTGCTTAATGTGTATATTAAGGTGATCCTTGATATGGACATTTTCGAATTTTCTTGCTCCCAAGGGCTCACGTGCTTCCAAATTGATAAAAAAATCCTCTATAAGTTTTAGCTCTTAATATTGTCTTTTAGATAGTATGCAAATCAATCAAAATTTTTAGATATAACTTAGCGAACAAATGAATGGTTTTATTCAAAATTCGACGCTCTACAAAACAAATTATAAAAACCTGTTTTGCAGAGGGTCGAATTATCAATAAAAGATGACACAAATTTTCACTTTTAATTCATTTGTCGCTAAGTTATACCTAAAAAACATTTTTAAAATTTTCGAAATTTTGTCCATGCTATTTCCATACGAAGCTTTGATTGAATTTAGCACTATCTAAAAGTTAATATTAAGAGCTAAAACTTTAAGAGAATTTTTTATCATTTGGAAGCATTTAATCCCCTCTTAGCAAGGAAATTGGAAAAAGTCCATATTACGGACCACCCTAATATACATATATATATAGCAAATAATACATTATATACATTAATACCATTTCCAATTGTTATAATGAAATTATGGCCGACTATTTGTGGATCAAAATTTTCATTTTTTATTTGAGATTTCTTGCCATTTTATCTGAAAATTAATATTTTATAACAATTTGGTATCTTTCACCCTATACTTGTTTGTTATATTTTACCTTTTCTCGAGAAAAGCTTCAGCCAGATATTTTATTTACTTAAATTTAATTGTATGTAATGATTTTTTTTCATTAGCGAGTTTGCAAAATTTTCAAACTGGTTAGATAAGTAATACTATTAACAATTAAGTATTTTAAACACGCAACTTACATTTCAGAGAATATTTTGGAAAA